GATAAAAATGAAAAATTGATTTTTCCTCCGATCCGATGATTAATTTCGTTTTTATTGCGACAAAAAAAATGCGTTTTCTTATTTTGCAGGCATATTGTTACAATCGAAATATATTCTCAATATTACGATACTCGCTTAAATGTATTATTATTAAAAAAAAAAAAAAACACCATAATTCAATTCATCAGGACGCAATCCGATTTCGGATTTTTAATTGTACGCCGCTTTTTCTCCGCTTTCGACCTTGGCAGTATTAATAAACGTTACCTATATATAAATATATAAACGGTGTGACGTATTTCGACGCGTTTATAATATATTTCGTAATAAAATTAGCGATTTTCATCGAGCAAAGGGGTAAATCGTATGCAAATTATTCACAATCTCGGAAAGCGACGATAAATTGTTCGCCGCTCGTTTTTTACGGATTGTCCGGCCGCACGGTCGTTTATAGTATTTGCCATCAAAATTGACGGGAATGTACATAATTTGTAATTACTACATCGGGAGCATTATCTCCACGGTTCCGAAACGAAATCGTTTTTGTATCGAACCGCTAGAAAAATTGTTAAATACGCCAATGGCTTTATCGCTCTGTTTTAGGTTCACGGGCGAGTCGTCTACTGCAGTGGTTATCTGCCGGTGTATGACTGTGATGTGTGTCACCAAAAAATGTGTTTATTTATCGTTTTTTTTTGTACTTTGTAGTTTATACTGTACGTTTTAAAAGCATAAATATATGACATTATTACTATGTTATAGTTAAACCGACAGATAAGAAAAACTAGGAAATCGGCATTACTTGTAGGTACGTAAATAGACATGACCTTAGTCGTAATCACCGTGTTGTGACGTGTAAGCGTTGTGTGTGTCATTTTAATTTCATTAATCGTTTTAAATGTGTCGTCATTTTTATGGATCCGAATTACGGTGTCGCAATAAAGGCTGAGAACCACCGGTCTATTGAATACGGTCTACTCCCAACTTTTCTACCGCTCAATTATACATAAACGTCGACCGTTCATTAGAAATTATAATTTATTAAATCGACTGTTTTTTTTTTTTTAGATTCTGAGCAGAGCGGAAAATGTTTTGATTTCACAATGATGTTTATTTATTTATTTTTTAACAACTTCTACCGGCAATAATTTTGCTCCGATTTACAATTATAGCACTTTTTCTGAAATGAAGTCTGATTGCTGTGGTACTTTAGAGTGGTCATTTTTAGATTTTCCCAGATGTTTTCATAATAAATGAGAAAAACCGGGAAATAACGTAGGAAAACGGGAAATTAGTTACAATACTAAACAAATATTTTTATCAAAGAAAATATTGTAAAATACACATTTAATTATTTTACCATAATGTAACATTTATATTGTTGATAAAGCAACACTGTAAACCGAACTTCGCTCAGAATCGTCTTTCGTTAACAATGGTTAATCTTCGCGTACACATGTACATTGAATTTCCCCCTATACCTCCCCAACTTCTTACCTACAACAGTAGCCCACCCATGTATCACCGTCATTTATAGTTTATATTGTATTATTTCAATTTTAGGCGAAACACTAATATTTAAAATGCGCGATTAATTAATTAATTGTAATTAAAAAATGTAATTAACAAAATAATATATTGCGCAATAATGATATTAGTGGTTTAGTTGTTACGAACGAGAACATTCGTTTAGTGACATTTACATAAATATATCTAGATGATAATATTATGGAGATTTTTCGTTTTAAAATCCAATAATCAATCAAAATAGTTAGCAGAATTGAATTACTATAAAAGTGATGCGATTCAAAATAACATAATTAATCTAAATGGACATGATAATATTGTTTTGTCCTGTCGACTGTTTCACTACCCCGCCCACGTTTATTCAACGACTGGGAAACTAGAACTCAAACTATAATGCCTAAAATATCGATTTGTTTCCTTGATAAATGCTATTTGCTATGTTATCCATACAATCATATTAACATGCATTTTATTGTATTATTATTATCATCGTTATTCGCACTCGTTCAGTCCTTTCGTACTTGCGTTTGTATGCGTTTGATACTTATCGTTGCATGTAATACCAAACCATAAATAAATATTGTTTTGTGTAAATTACCCTGCAGTAATACAAACGGTACCTGAGTTTTCTACTCCACATCCACCGCAGTCTCCGGCTGCCCATCACGGTGAGAAGTACCCTGCGTCTAATTTTTTCACTATCATAAGGACGGACGTAGTGCAGTGTTATCGCGCACAAGTGACGTTGTGAATAAAATATTATAATTGTTTTATTCCGTCTGTGAACGCCGTACGATAATAACGACGCTACGAGCCCGAACGTTTTGGCGCCGAGATGTCCTAGATTTACGCAGAGTGGGTGAATTAGCCGGCGAATCGTTTCTCCTTTTGTTTTCTACTGTACCGTATGACGTATTATATTTTCTCACAATGTCATGGCGGGGAAAAAAAAGATTCCGACGACAAGATTAATTATTATTATTACGAAAAAATAATAAGTTTAAGGGGAAAAAGACCACTTAAAAAAAAAAAACTAGGTTTCTATGACAATACACAGTATATACGAACCACGGCGTGTTTTGTACTTCATTTTCTTATTTCGAGTTTTTCGCGTACGCCGCGGTAAAAAAAAAAAAAACCCCATAGTTGTAATATTGTTCGTCTATACGCTATACCTAACGTTTAACAATACTAACATGCGATATTTCTCGCATAGGATTTTATCAAAACGAAAAACTATAATTCTGTAAGTCTATCCTTGTAATAATGTTCATCTTGTTCATCTTAGGGAGGACTAAGATTTTATTTTTTTGAAAATTTGTTTCGCTCTTCTCGTGATATAATATTTAAAGTAGTAAAAGAAGGTTTTCCTCAAATGTATAGGTCTATAAAATAATTTTAGGTGATCATAAAAATCGATTTTTTTTTTTTTAAAACTCCAAATACACATTTCTCAAAAAACAACAAAAAACAACGATATGCAAAAATAATTAGAATAAAATAAAAAATATACTGATATTAAAAAAAAAAAAAGTTTAGCTCGTAGAAAATTGTTGAAATAATCCAATAGTTTTGAGGGATTATTTATAAAAAAATTCAACAATTTAATATCGTAAAAATTCAAATTTTTTTTGTACTTATTTGTGAATAGCCGTTTTATTAGTTGTTTTATTATTATTATTATTATTTTTTTTTTTTTTGAGTAATTAGTATTTAATAGGTAAATAAATAAAATACTAATAAAACGGCTGTTTTTGATTAATTTGATGCTCGTTGCCTCAAGAAATCACTTTAAGGACCCATACATATGAGGGAAATTATTTTTACTCAGGCGAACAAAATATCAAGAGAAAAGCAAAAAAAAAAAAAAATAAATAAATCCTAATCTACCCTAATATATCTGTAGTAGTTTTAGAGCGCATTGTTATAATTATTATTTACATAATGTAATTATATGTAATTGTAATTGTAAATTAAATGGGTTTTGGTTTTCTTGGGTAGAGAAGAATTCGTTTAGTGTTGTTCATCATTGGCCCCGTTGAGTTTAAAAAACGAATATTGCAGAGCTCTGATAAAAACTGTGTGTTGTAGTTTTAATAAATATCAAGACAAAAATATTCAGCTATAAACTCGACAAAATAAAGATCATAATACTTATTTTTCGTAATATTACATTCGATCGAAAATCGTTTTGAAATTTATTCACATTCATAAAATCTCCAAAACCCTAATTACCATATTATGTTTCCGAATTTATTAATCAAATATCAAATAGATTTACTCCAGAAACGTAGTTACGCTATTATTATAATATTTCATTTGTATTTTTATTTTGGCCATACTTATACCGTGTAGTGCCTACCACTTTAGTATAAATATCTTTACTAACTATAGTATACTTTATAAACCACCGAAAAAAACCATAAATTACGATTGATTATTGAAAATGCACATTAAGCTACGGATAGGCCACTGCTGAAAGTGAGAAATTGGAAAAAGTATAATGTGTAGGACGATGTTTTAAGTTCGTATACATGTATTTATGTACACTTTTGTTGATATTCAAATTTTAAAACCATTGTTTCCAATTGGATTTTCAGTCAAGGGGCTACAGATATAGAAACAAATCAAGTTCACCCCCAAATCATTAAGAAATAATAACTTTTTATTTGTTTAATTTTCAAAATGGTTATTTAGTAAAATATGTAGTTTTAAAAATGTTAATACACCATACTTTCATATCCGATCAAAATCCGTATAATGCGGTGCACGATGATAAATCACTGAAATTAAAAAAGCCGTATTTAAGCAGAGCTCGGTAAACTGGTAAGGTCACGGTAAAAATTCGACTTATACTAAATTATAGAAGACGTGTTTTTCCCCTTTCAGCCAATATGAACGAGAAATCGACAAAATATATGACCTACGTTACCTTCATTTGCTGTCAGTTTTTATTTTTTAGTTTTTTAAAAAAAACTTTAAAAAGGGACTTTCTTGAATCTAAACAAATTGTTCAAATTAAGTACTTGGTAACGTACGAAAAATAATCCACGTCCTTTTTTTTTTTTTATTTTCAAATACATACCTATATTTACCTAAATTATGTATTTTGATTTGAAGCATTTTTACCGATAGGAAAAACGTTTTACGAGACAAAAATAAAACATATTTCACATTTCTAAAAACTAATAGTATCTTTTAGAATCTAAAAAAAATATATATATATATAAAATACAATGTACTCAATAATATAATGCGCATTTATGAATGACCCGAGGAATAATATTTTTATTTTTTTAATAAGTCCAATTTTTAATGATGGTATAATACCATAATAAATCATTTCGAATAACTAGAATATAATAGCAATATGAATATTTACGTCCGATATTATAACATAAACACGCGTAGGACAGTAATAAATCGTTCGTATTATTTTAACGGCGGTTTATCTGTATTAATAATTATTATTATTATGATCCAGAACGGAACAAACTCGGTGAGTGTCTGTGCCAGATGTTTTTGACAATAGTCCAAATCGAATTAGTACTAGCGGCAATAGACGTGGATGTTTTTACACTATTGAAATCATTACGCGATGCAAATCTAAAAAAATAAAAAATAAAACAATATAAATTAAACTCCGACGACATTTTGAATATTATTTTAAATTTAATGTATATTGCATTATAGAGTTGGTTTTAAAGTACCATCGAAGTACCTAACCTAAAGTACCATCCCAATCATATTTCCTTTCGGAAAAAGCGATATACTTTACTACTACTAAATTATCATGTTTTTTTTTTTTTGATTATGCTCAATTATTAAAAAAAAAAAACTATAGGGAAAATAAAAAAACAACTATTTTAATTACCTAATTAAGTTAAAAATTTAATGAAAATGATCTCCTGTCCATTTTGATATTGGAGGAATATTTTTGGTAGAAAACATAAATAACAAAAATATAAAATCATCAACCGGGCTTGCTGTAAACATATTTTCCGTGTATGCCTACGTTTTTTCCCCGATTTTCTCAAATATTATAAAAACTGATTGAAAAATAAAATAATTACCACTTAGTACCGTATAAACAAAATTTACTTTAAAAAAATCTGCAATGCTTGATACATCGGAGCAAGATTACTGGTAGAATAGTTGGTCACAGTATAAAAAAAATAAACATCATTGTAAAACCAAAACATTTCTCGCTTCGCTCAGTATATAAAATACTAAATCCAAATTGATTCTGATATAAAATAACGAAGCTATCTGCTTATTATAAAGTTGTACCACACTAAACACAATGAAATTGGATTTTCTGTTATTCACAGTTAAATTTTTGTTTTTTTTATTTTTTTATTATTCACATATACGTTGAAAAAGATTAGATCAAATTATCTACTTCGTCAAGTATTTAATTTATTCACCAGAATGATGATGGCGTGAAAATTGCATTACGAGGTCACGACAGTTTAGTATCATTTCAAACATTTATATTTAATACAATAGGAAATGTTAAAGTGCAAAGAACTGAAACTGAAACGGATTTTCACGAAAAATGATAATTTATACGTTCGGGGACTTTAACGTAATAAATCACCAAACGAAAGTTACCAAACGCCCCGAATTTATTTTCCAATATACGTGTTGAAATATATTGAATTAATTTAGATAGCACGACACGATAATAATAAAATAAGTATTAACAACGCGACATATTATTGAGAAATTATAGCACGTGTATTTTAGTATAGGTGTGCTTGAAACAATAAATCATGTTTAGCGTTAGTTACTACACGTATGTAGGGTTGGAATACAACGTCCCAAGTTACTGACCGGATTTCCGCTCTTTTCACTGCCGTATCCGTTACGCAGATTCGTTGGTCCGTTGACCACGTGAATCCCCAGCGACAAATGCACTTGTGGTGTCCCCGTAGATTTATACAGATCTCCGAATTTTTGTCACAGATGTCCGAAACCGTTGCGCATTCGTTTATATCGATACACGCGCCATACCTGATTAACAAAAAAAAAATAATAATAATAATATTAATAAAACAAAACTACGAACAAGCGATAACAAAATTCATAATGTCAATGTATTATACGGTACGGGAGAGGAGCACGAACCCGAATACGCGATTGCGAGAGTGGTGAAAAACTAGGAAGATTGTTTTTGAAATATGGTTTTATTATTATTTGTTAAGATTCTGAGCGGAGCGATAAATTGGTTGAATGTAGGAATGTATTGGTTTTACAGAGATGTTTATTTGGTTTTTTTTTTTTACTGTAAACAACTTTTTTATCAGCAATTTGTCTCCGATTTGAAATTATAACACTTTTTCCGAAAGAAAATCTTACTGGTACGGTACTTTAGAGAGTTTATTTTTTCATATTCTAGAATTTTTTCAAACAAATGGAAAAAACCTGAGGAAAAACGGGAATGTAGGTACAATATTAAACAATTATTATCAAAGCAAAAATACAACGTAAACGTCATTATTTTACAGTTATATGACAATGCAACACTGTTTAATGAAATCCGCTCAGAATCGTTAGCACTGGTTGATCACTGCTTACAGATATACATTGAATTGCCGATAACAGCGGTTGCGTCCGTCCCCATCATCCTAGCACGGCTTATTTTTTATATAAAAGTACATAATTACTAATTAAAATGTACTGTTGATTATTAATTAGTAATTACTAAAAGAATATAAGTGATTATTATTATTTTTTCGTTCCAGGAGCAACGAGACTTGGCTAAAATCCCAGGCGGTTATCGAATCCGCGGTAAGGATTACTTTTTATGCGCCGCGCGCTATCGCCGAAGACTTACCGAAACACGTCAGGTTTCGGCGCATGCGGAATCGATATAAATAAATAACTACTATTATTTCATAAATATATTATATTTGACACGATATTATTACGTTCTAACCTCGAATCGTATTCATATCCGGCGGTACAAGCGCACGAAACATTCCATTCATTATAAATGACCGACGGTAACCGTGTGTTTTGATTTCGAACGAACTTACACTGCCCACGGGAAAGATGAAACACGAATTTTTTAGACATTGTTGTAACAGTTATAATAATAATAATAATATAGTCTTGTTTGTTCTCCTACGAGATATAATACAACGGTTGTAGGTGTACGTTAAAAAGGTCGCATGAATATTGTGTACTAAGTGTTCCCGACTACGCGGCACGCAAAACATTGTTTACGTATACCGGTAACTTTTCTGTTGCGTGTTGAAGGAAATACTCATGAAATCTCTACATTCAAACTACACCGGGGAAAAATTATTACAACATCAATAATACCTAGCAGTATAAGTTTAAACAGTAAGTTTTTCGAGAAAACACGTCTGAAAATTAAAATAGACCGACGCAAGTCGTTGTGTTACATTAGGCAAACAAGCCGTAGGAAAACGCGATTTTTTTTTTTTTTAAATAACTATGTGCATAACTATTAACAAAAATATATATATATATATTAGTTGGTATTTTTCGAGATCAAAATACGAATGGTATTTTACAATAACACGTTTTCAATTCAGCTGCTTTACACCTCGTATAGAAATCGTAAGCGATTTTAATTTATAATTTGAACGAACACTATTTCATTTCGAAAACAATATGAATTACACTATAGAAATACTAGTAATGCGTAAAATATTATAATACGAATTGAAATAAAAATATACAAATTCATCGCGTAATAATAAATTATATTAAGCGAAATAATTTTAATTTAATTTTAACAAAACTATTGTTCTGTTAAAATATTTTTTTTTTTAATTACGAAAAAATTGAATATCTTTTTCTTTTTTTTATATAATGTTATAATAAGCCAAAAAACGTAAATAAAGAACGTTAAAAATAAAATATCTACATTTTATATTTAATTTATCGGATCAAAATGTGATTATTTTAATATTCGGCAGTTACGGGATTACGTAGAATCATTAAAATCGGATCGTACGTTAAACTGATTATTAAACTTTAGCGCAAACTAAATTATCCAATCTTTTTTTTCGACAATCTTAACAATTGTTTTTCACATCCAGAACTGCGATACTTTGTTGACTAGGGTCGAATAATGTGAAAATCGAAATTCCTTCTTCCTACAACGAATTACCGGATTGGTAGTAACAGCTAAAGTAGATACTAGACAATTTTATGCATGGCAAAATACGTCAAAATATCAACAAAAAAAAGGTCTGATAGAACTTTTGTTCATATAATATCTTTAACCTGAGTTATACTAAATGTAATTTTTTTTTTTTTTTTGTTTGTATGTGTGTGTATTTTGAATTTCCCCGCTTCTTAGCTATAAAATCAGAGGTCAAAAAAATCGTCGAGCCCAATATTATATTGTGTATTATTACCCGTAAAAAATATACGTACACTTTTCTCTGTCGCCTCCGTCATAGTGTGCCGACACGGATTCACGTCATGACATTCTTCCGGAGCTGTCACTCGCCGTAATGGGCAACAGGGGTCAGGACAAAAACTGTACAAGGCGCATTGGTAAGGCAGTTTATTATCTGCCCGAAAATCGGGTAATTCTTCGGCCCGATAACATTCCCCGATATCGTCACAAGGTTCGTTAAACACCGACAATAACGAAATGTTCTGGAGAATAAAAAATATATATATACAGGGTGTTTCACTAAGCGTGTTCACATCATTTGTTTGGTTACATTTTGCATTATATATTCTAACTTCTCCCACACTTTATAATATTTCAAATAATACGGAAAAACATAATTTTAATACTGCACACGCAACTTTTGTTTTTAAAATTGAATTTTACACCGCAGTGTGAATGCCGTATTTTTCAAAATATATTTCCATCAAAATTATAGCTTCTTTTTTCTGATAATTATTTTTGTTTCGTAATTTAGACGTAGCCATTTTTCCAATTTAAGAAATTACATTTTTGAGAAAATCGCTAAATGCATTGTTCAATTTTTTTCATTGACGGTATAACATTAAAAAGCACGTATTTTAACCATATAATATAATATATCTTCTTTTTCTTCACCTTCGTCCCAACTGTTCATACATGAATATAATTTACATTACATAAACTATAGATACAGTCATTAACTGTATGATTGTTGAGGTATATATTCAAAAAATGGCAAATTGTCAATTGATTGAACCACAAAATATCGAATTTGTTTATGTCTTAACTTATTTGTTGATACAACGATAATACAGAAACAATTTCCGATAAATTTCAATTATTAATTTTATATTGTCACATAATATTATAATTCATGGCATAAACAAATATTTCATGGATTAAACATTACAATTAACGTATGTATGGTTGCCAAGCTTACAATCCCGTTTAATTGGCTTCCTAGTTATTTTATTAATGTATGTCAACATAATAGTAAAAAAATCATAAACATCCTGATGTACATAGTAAAATATTAAACAACAAAAATATTAATATAATATTGCACATTTTAAAAGAAACACGAACGGTTTTATTTTGCCTATACTGAGTGCCGTCTTAAGAAACATTTAATGCATTCTAAATATTTACTAATATTATTATTGACATTGAAAATTCGTGTAATTTCATATCACTTTTAAGTATAGTGAAGAATGTAATGGTATTGCATTGATGTGTATGTGTGTATGTGATTTTTGTACCTTTGAACAACTTTTCTATCAGAAATCTTGCTCCAATCAACAAATTGCGATAGAACTAATTTAAAGCGTTTTGATCTAGCTGGTAATTCGATAAAGTCAATTTTTGCTATACCTAGCAGTTTTTAAAATAATTGAAAAAGAAACTGTGAAAAAACCTGTAGGATAAATAGACAAATTTACGAGCAATAGTTTCTTTGTTTTCAATTATGTTTTTCTACCAGAAATAGTGTTGCTCGGAATTTCAAATATAATTTCTTTTTTAAAAATATATTTTATCTTACTTGTGTATTATTGGGTAGTTTAATACTTGTAATAATATTAAGAACAGAGTTTATGTAAATAACAGTTTCGTTATTTGTGATTTTGTTTTAATTTGGTTGAAAATTATATTATGAACCTTAAATTTGTTCTCAGTATACTTAATAATTTAAGTTAACTATTAATTTCAGATTCCTGTAAAATGTCTCGAGGCTAAAATTTAATAGGCATACAAAAGTCACACGGCAATATTACGGCCTTAGCGTGATAAAAAAAATATGATCTAATTCGTTCTGTACCAATATTTAATACGATCGTCATTAACGTGGTTTCCATTGAACATTGGCCCTATGCACGGGAATCGGTTATCTTCGAGTTCAAATTTGTGCACAACTTGTACAGGTTGATAATGATATTTCACTGTTAACGCTGTTAAAGCGCTGCAAAATATGAGGGTGTGTACATTTTAATACCATTATAATAGCAATATTGAAAACCCTGAGCATAATACAATGTGAGGGTAATCAAACCGCGGCCAAGTTTTCGGTCGCATATCTGTGGTCAGTTTATCCGTATTAATAAATTAATAAAGAGCGCATTAAAGTATAACAAACCTAAATGATTTACGATCGGAATTTTAGGTAGCGAGTATATTGACGTAGCCGCCGCTGGACAGTCCGTAAAATATTGCCCACGTTCATACTGTGACTACGTGTTTGTGTGTTTAAATCAAACCTAGTCAGTTACTAGTTACTAAGTTCAAATTTAATTCGTACGTGACTACGTTAATTTTTTTGATAGCTTTAATATAAAAACAAGTAAACAAAAAAAATAATAATAATAATAATTTCAAACGTCAGCAAATAACTTGATTTAAACCTATGTTAGTCATTTCTTTTAATAAATAAAAATAATTAAACTAACTCTTACACTTATTGTACGGTTCAAAAGTTATTGCATTAAGACGCTTTGTACGAATACGTAGATAATGAATACTCCTCTATGCAACGAAAGAAAGATAATAAATACTCCTCTATGCAACGAAAGAAAGAATATCGCACCTCGTAATTTCTACATCATTTGTCGTCGATACCTACGTAAAAACGTAATCGTTTTATTGGAGAACGGTTTAAAATGTGCGCAGGAACTGTAATTTTAATTTAAAAAAAAATTATAATATCGTTGTGGACAATTTTAATTTATACCCAATGATTTTTTGCCTAATATTCCTTGTAAAATTTCCTTAGGTTCCGAGTATTATTAAAGTAGATGTTCAAATATTTATCATTTTATATTCATATTTCTTATTAAAGCGCAGTGAATTTATATAAACTATACACTACAGTTTTAATATCGAATAAAAATAATTATTATAGTAAATCTCAATTCAGTTTCTATAAAAAAAAAAAAAAAAAAAAACAGACTTGAATTCTCATCAATGGCCTATACATAATACATATACAGATATACGTACATAATTACACAGAAATAAAATGAAAATGTTTTATCGAACGACGAATACGATAAACTTCAGTTATTTCTTCTTTACGTCGAAGTTATAACTTACATTGAAAAATAAAAAAAAATAAAAAAAACTTTTCAGTGATTTAAATATATTAAATTCGTAACGCACGTGTAAATAAAATACGTGCGTGTGGCCGTTTATGTAACATGGAATAAACGTGCCCATCGAATAAAAATTATTTTACAACGTAATATCGTCTCAACCGTTACCGCGAATCGGTATTTTATAATTAAATACGCGGGGATTCACTATAATTGAGTAATTATTCAACGGACATTTTACTAAACACCTTTTTTTTTTTTACGAAACATAATTCGTAATTTAATATACATCGTATGTTATATAATAATATGCATCTAATGAATCCGTTGACGATTACGTCCGTACGTTTCGGAATACGTTGTTGTATTATACGTTAGAATCCGTGTTGCTCATAGTCGCTGTGAGGTTAAAAATACGAATTCAGCAGCCGGTGGTGATAGATTTTTAGCCGTCAGAGACGTTTTCTGGGGCACGAGGAAGCGATCTATCAATTGAATCGACCAGAATTTGAGCTAACAAGAAAAATTTGAATTATACTAAACCGTATTAGGACAGGTCATAGAAGAAGTAGTCAAATGATATTTGGATGATGACTGCGTGATTCAGAGGTATGCGATTGTGGTCACGCATTGCAGACTATCAGTCACATAGTTAACGAATGCCTAATGCGAGCAATCATAGTTTCCGTACACGACATTCAATATCAAGGTAAAAAAGAAGCAATAACGTGGATGGAGTAACTGGATATTATATGACATTTTTTTTAATATTATTATTCATTTATATATCAATTATTATTTATTTAATCTCAAAAAAAAAAAATATTTATACTTGTTAAGGTGAAATATGTATTTCATATAGTGCTATACGAAATAATAATAATAATAATACATTTGAATGTTATTTGTCATGGATAAGAAAAATAATAATATTATTACCAAAATCATACGCATTTACAATTGTTTCAATAGACTATTGTCCTATTTTAAGTGGAATAACTTTTAAAAACTTAAGTTCTAATTTCGATTAGAATACGCAAAAATTAAAATTTCACTACTACAGCAGGTGGGTTCTCATTTGAAAAAACAAAGTCAGTATCATCGCAGGTCAGAGGGGCGCGGATTAAGCCACCGAAATACCGGGAAATTTCCCAGTGGGCCAGTGCTAAATTTGGTTATCTGACCTGTGGACGTTACAGTGGCGGCTCTTTGTGCTTACATAAGGTGTGACATAAATTAATCGAAAAAATTCGTGTCGACAAGTGCGGAAATCTTGTACTTTAGAAGAAATGTCTATTCTTTTGGAATTTAATTCGCCGACGCGGTTTAAAGCAGGGTCGTTTTTGGAGAAGTTGATTGAATTTGGAACAGTTCTTACTGAGAAAATTTATTTAAAATGGTTTAAATTTACAATTGACATAGCTGTTTCTAGTTTGGAAAACGCTTTAATATTTACTCAAAACGTATGGCCCATTTAGCATGTCATCTCCACCCTTATAAATTCTAAGAAATTCAACAATTAATCTACTTTGTTTTGTGTGTAATCAATATACTTATGTAGTCACTTTATATTTAAATCCCGGTGAATTTTCCAGTCCCAATCCGCCCTTAGGGCGCAAGATGCTCCTCAAATTGTTGTAAGAAATTTTATGTATTTGAAAACATCGATTTGCATAATGCATAATTTAACCATACAAATCGAGTTAGCGTTCTCAGAAACTCACGCTGTAAACCGAACAAACAGAAAATCATTAGACTTCGTTTATTCGAGTATTTGATTGAAGAAGAAAATAATATAAAGGTATATACGAATATACGTGTTTTATAATAGCCGTTGAATGTAATATTATATGCGTAACCGATGAATTACACGTTGCTCGGTGATTCGAAAAAAGGAACGAAAAAAAAAAAAGAAAAAGAAAAATCGTTTTTATATTCTATTCGGCATTTGGCCAATTTCCGATTTGTCCTATAAGATTTTTGGCAATATAACCGAAAGAAAAATATATTACATACACACACGGGCGAGCGCGCACGCGCGAAATAGGTACTTATATTTATGATAATATTATTATATTATAATAAAATACATAATATGTACTCGTAAAAATATATATATGAAAAAATGTGTAAACTAAGATAACTCCTGGGCTTCCACACGAGTTTTTCTCAGTGAGGCCCAGTAATTATTGATTTCAGATAAAAATAAAAAAATAAAATAAATATAAACAATTACAATTTAATGAAACCATTAATGCATCTTTTTCTGTGGTTTTTTTAATCCCAATTATTAAAAGAACTACTATGAAAATAAAAAAGATGATCCCTTCAATGCGTGACCTCAATAAAATTTCATTCCGAAAAGACGCTTAACCTGAAAATCTGAGCAAGACCTTTCCGGTAAAAAAGTTATACAGAAACGGATCATAGTTAAACCAAACACATCACACATCGCTTAGGTCAGAATCGAATGTTACACAATAATCCGGAACCCACATCGTTTACCTGCATCGTGTACCAACACATGAAATAGCTTGCAGTGACCCTCCAACGGAATCTGTCCAACGGGCCTCGAAACGGCACGGGTTTCTCCCAATCCGACATTTTCAACCTCAAACACTCGTCGTTGACCATACGAATCATATTGCTATTTTTCTCCATAGTCCAGTTCATTTGTCGCATCACGTGAACGGTAGACGAGATCCTCTGAGTCCGGAAATATTATAAAATAATGTCATTTATTATTAGAACAAATATTAATATGCAAACAAACACTTTAAATATATGCAAATATGCACTAAAAAAGAAAAAAAAATGATATAAAAGAATGGCATGTTTCGCACGACAGGTTGGGCCATTGTTGTAAATGAGCAGTTAAGAAGATAGGATTTAGAGGAGACTTCAGTTTTTAAATTTATATGCAACAATAATCCATTGTTCACGAAAAGCGATTCGGAGCGAAGTTAAGTCATACATGTTACACAGGCCGTGATATTTACGATTTTGGTCAAAATTTGATATCAAATTTCTTATAAAAATAAAAAACACTGCATTCAACAAATTTTTTTTTTTTTACTAAAATGGACGCCTTAAAATTAACTTTCTGTTCAATTTTTAATCATTTTTGTTTAGTCGAACACTTTTATTTACATTAAACTAAATAACTGGTAAAAAATCTCGAAAATTTTAAATGCCTAAATATAAAATAGATCAATAATGTGCCAGAATATTTTAAATATTTCATCAAGCCTAAAAGAGGTTAATATAAGTATTACGGTGAAATCTCAGTTTTTCACGATTATTTCCAATCGATGAACAAAAATAAAAAATATTATCATTATTATCGTAAATCTTCCTGATTTTCATAAATTATTGAGTAAAGAAAAAAAAAATAATAATAACAAATAATCATCTCAATAAACCAACTAGTTGACATTAAAAAAAAAATGCTATACTTAAAAATCGAGACACGATTTCGAGTATAAAAGTTGTTAATAAGCAGAATAATTGATAATAATAATAATAACTATACACGTTTTTACAAAAATGCTATATTGTCAATATCTCACAGGATTTGTCCCATTATAACGCGTGGGACGATTAAACTAAACAAATTCTATACCAAGGTAAGAATATTTTATTGTTGGAACAAAGTGCTATACAGTTTGTTAAATACAATTCACCGAAATGTATTCTCAAAATAAAATACCAATTTGTTTAAATGCGTATAATTTTATTGATGTCGTCGTACAATTTTATCAATATTTTATATAGAGTTCTTCGTTAGATTTCGATTCGGTAATGTCCCAGCGTTTTATTTTTTGTAAAATTAAAAAGCAAAAATTATCTCGTTCAAACTCCGAACTTTCCTTATTATCGCTCCTCTTCGTCCAAGTATTTATAAAGTAAATATTACGCGGCGGCGGTAGTATTTAATTTATACGTAATAATGTCAACTGCGAAATTTTTGTCAGCAAAAATATTCAATAATTAATACAAAACTGCCAACTTTGTTTTAGGCAATTTTACATAATATAATTAATGAATATTCATTATTGAAATTATAGTTTACTATAGAGACGGCGACTAAAGTGCAGGCATCCATTTTATTCTCAAGAAATTCGCGAGATTTCCCATAGTATGCTATTTACACCTGAAGTAATGATATTATTATGGAAATATACATATTCCGAGGAGATAACATATTATTACACTATCCGTATTGTTATAAATAGCAATACAGTTTGTATAATTTTAACGAAATATTTTTGAACATTATTACAATATGTCTTTTAGTGGAGCGAGAAATATGTCAGTATAACAATATGTTTATTTTTTTTCCCCTCTGGGTGCAAGCAATTTTACTAGGATTTTAAACGATAGTACTTTTTCCAAAACGAAATCTAACTGGGGAGGTATTTTTTTGTTGTTTTTCCTTGAAGTTTTCCCAACAAATGGGAAAAACGTATGAAAAACCGGAAAATAGGTACAATATTAAACAAATATTTCCAAAGAAAATATATAATGCATGTTATGTAATTGTTTTACCAAAATATAACACATATATTGTTGACAAAGCAACACTATCAATTGAACTCTCCTCAGAATGGTTTTTTTATTAGCAATAATGGTTAATCGTTGCTTACAGATATGCATTAAATTACCTATAACGAAGGATAACAATGGCTGTACCCGTTCCCATTATCCTGGGACAGCTTTTTAAATTTTTTTCAAATAATAGATTAACATAAGGTAAGGCAAAATAGAATATACCGGACAATAGTGGACAAATGACAATAGGCAGTACAAGGCAGAACATGTTTGAGAAAACGACTATTATAGTGCCTGGGGACCGTCGTTGAACTAAGCAGAGTATATATAGAGGACCTTAAACATTTATTGTTGTCCGGGCGTGTTAATAAAAAGTCATCGGTATTTATTTTATATTTTTGTTTTTTTTTTTTGTCAGTTTAAAAACTTTGTGCTCGTCGTACATCTTTAGATTCTGCGCGTACCGGAGAGGAATACATTAGTTTTAGTATGATATATTATGTGCTTTTTTTTTATCATCATGTAAACATCTTTTCTACCAGAAAGCATGCTCCAACCGTAAACTTTGGTGGCAGTTTCTGGTAAAAGTGTTTTTTGCCAGCTATTGCGTTAAAAAGATCTTTTTATGATTTTCGTTAAAGTTTTCTTACTTAATAGTTGGGAAGAAATGTTGAAAAAACATACGTAATAACTGTATCTTTTGTTTTCGATTTCGTTTGTTCAGTGCGACTTCTATTAGTAATCAATATAGAGACATACATTTTTCACTGAATATTCGCCCTTTCAGTACGCGGTAAAATAATTTTTGATCTAATATTGGCATTTGGAATTTTGTAGTGTTTTAATTTTTTCATTTAGTTTTAAATTAATAAACAATTTTGTTTCAGAAATAATGCTAGAAAACGTGACTTAAAGGCTCACCATAAATTGTACTAAGTGGTGGGAACGGACATTTTTATGCGTATATATATTTGTTTTTTTACAAACTATTTTAAGCTCAATATTTTCACGTCAATTTAAAAACTATGTTTAACTGAACGTCGCTACAAATCGTTTATATTAAATTACAAATGATACTTCACTAACGCGTAATATCATTATAAAACTCATTCGAATAAACTTTTCGTAATTATAAATAAATAATAGGTAGCGCAATGTTATTTAATCACCTGAAACTGCGTATCCGAGATCACGTCTTGTAAGTACTTTAAACATGTCAGAACGTTTTCTGAACATTTTTCGTATACTTCCCAGTGAAACGATATCAAAGGAGGTACAGGAAATTGCGCGTAAAAATACGAGCTGTTTTTGTCACTTTTCAAATAATACCTAAGAATTAAAAAAAAAAAAAAATAAATACATTTGCGATATATTTTATAACATTTATTTATTCTAATTTATCATTATTAAAACTAGTATGATGAAATGGAATTTGTGAGATATAATAATACATGAATTCTTTACGAAATTTTATGTTTCAGGTTACAAATCATTACATACCTAATTTATTATTGTGAAAAAAAGGATGGTGTGAATTATAATATTATGATAATCCGTAATTTTAAGTTTAAATAATTGGTTGTTTGTGAAAAAAATGATAATTCACGACCGTTCTTCTATAAATTATTGTAGTCCTCTGTATAGCGTTATGTTGTGCCAAATCAATTGAAAATAGCCAAAAATAACTTTGACTAAAAATAATATTAATAAATCTTAATAATATCTAAAGAAATGTATGAAAATTTTGATAGACTTTTTGAAAATGTCTACTTTTAGTCTTCGGTAAATCGAAATAACGGAGGCATTTTTCGGTAGATTTCCACTACGTATTAACTCCTCTTCTCTCGTAAAAAAAAAAAAAAAAAACTCCACAAGTATATAAACCTCAATTTATCTTTGACTTTTAGACTTTTTTTCGGCTACCCACCCTGTCCACCAGTTATGAGTATTATTCCCTATTCGAATACAATAATAACAATATCGTCGCAAAACCTACTAAGCAATTCGATAATCAATCATTTATTTCCTAAAGCGAAATCTTACACTATTGTGTGTCCGCCATTATGAACACGGATAAACTCCCTAAAAATGCAATGCCGTGTACACCCGTGCAATAACGCAGTACGTTTTTACGAAACTCTACACCAAAAACCTATGCGATTACAATAATACTTTAGGTATCGCGTATAAACGGTCGCGTAATTGAAGGCCCGTCCAATACCTACTTAATCGTAAAAAAATAACAATTATAACGATAATTTCACCGTAATATTCGGTTCGATGCGGGGCGTCACGTAAATTTATAACGAATTCGATAAAAAAAAAATAAATATAAATATAAATATTTATATGTAATACGCGTAATTTTTCACGCTCGTACATTATTATTTGTTATTACTTATATATTATTAGGTACCTATATAATACAATAAATATTTGATCCTTATAAATATGCATTTTTTTTATTATTAAACTCCTCCAGCGCCGCAAATTATCATTATTATTATTATTATTATTATTATTATTATTACTATTATTATGCCCGTAGTATGTTACGATGTTCGCGCGCAGTTTGCTATAGTATTATAATATTTTGCGTTTTATGGGCCCGACGGTATCGCCACGCCGAGGATGAAATTGTAAAAGTCTACGGTCGCCCGCACCGCCGCCGCCGCCTCTACACGCCCATTACCAGATTTTAAGCCTCGGAATATAGAGCGCATAAAAGTGAAAAATGACTCCAAGACGACAACATAATACATAATAATAATAATAATATTATTATTATAAAATGGAAAATTTAACAAAACGCGAATAACCGTGGTGTTTCTACGACACTGATTTCCGGTAATTGTTTTTTTTTTCTCTTGATAAAAAATATTATAAATTAAAACGCACGTTCTGTCGGCCGGTTCGAAACGTGTAACACTTAAAGGTATCTCCATACATCGTTGTGAGTCTCGGAACGGTCATGTAAAAAATATTTAATAACGCAAAAAAAAAAATATCGAAACGAACAAAACGAGCGCATTCAAATTTCGCATCCAGAACTCTTAATATTCGTAAAACTACACACGTTCGATTTACATTACACGCAGATAACGAATTTGTTTGTTTGTTAACGTTTTTAAAATTCTCGTCTGATCAGCATGGTTTTAGATAAGTACCACGGTTCGTTAGAAATCAGGGTGACCCGGTATTACCCTATTTTGACTAATTTATCCTGCCTCTCACTCTTTCTCTTTCCATATATTTTTTGTTTAAACGTGTGTAAGAATTAGCATATTGCGAATATGTCAGTTTACACCCACGTAGAGACCTAAACATAATAAAATCGTATTATATGTGAATATATTTCGATTTGCAAAGTTGGGTGGGTTAACCAATTACCTAATGTAAATAAAGTACAACCAAAAAAAAAGAACAAAGCAAAATTAAATTTAAAACAAAAACTAATCTGAGAGTAACAAAGTTAAGGTGACGTTTTCAGAAAAACGATATCAAAGTTAAATTAATAGTTAAAAGTTCCTTTTTTTAAAATTAACTTTTGCGATATTATACACTTGTACACTTATTTTGTACTCTAATATTTAGGCTTTTATAGATGTTCTATACAAGACTCGTAACTTGTCTCGGTATGCGATGATCCACGTAAAATTACTTAATAATTGTCGAAAAAAAATTGCAAAAAATATTAGTTAAAAAAAAAAAATTCGAAATTGTTTGACAAAATAACTAAATTCTTTAGTTAGAACAGTTAACAGACTAATTAAATATATTCTTAATGACCCATAAATTAACAATAATACTAATATCCTAAATATTCAAAATTTAGACCAACATTTTAAAAAACGGTTATTATTAAATTTTAAATATTTTACTTACTTACTTTACCAAAAATTCACGACTATCGTAGAAGATACCAATCAACTATTAATTTGGCTAAGTAAAATTTGAACTCCAATTTTGATAAAATGAATCCATTAAATATTAAAATTTATTTATGTATCAGATTTAATATAAATATATTGAGTTTCCATAATTTTATTTTGTATACAAAATTTGTTAATAAATTATTAGTATTATGAATGTTTGAATCTATATACTTTATTTACTTTACCTAAATTATATATTTTTTATTTATACAGCTCTTAAATTTGTATGCTATCTATATTATCTATTTTGTAAATATTTTTTTTTTTTTTTTTTTGATTTAGATTAATGAATATAATTATTGCATTTTTTATGTAGCAAATCTTACTTCCTAAAAATTTAAAGAAATTATTGAATCCTATTCCCACAAAAAACATTTATGGCTTACGGGAGCTTGGAAACTTTTATGTTCATTGTATATATGTTGGGTTAAAATAAAAATACATTATTATAATTATTGAATCGTGTTGAAATTATTTACTAAAATAGATAACCGAGCTAATTTTATTTTAATTATATTTGTTAAGTTGAATGTTATCAAAAGGAGTAATAAGTCGACTTTTAACTTTTCAACAAAAGTTACCGTCCAGCTTCGATGTGTTTTGGCGTAGGAACTCTGTACCGCTGCCCTGCATGATTATCACAGTATTTCTTTGGATTAATTTATATATATATATATATATAAATTATAAACGAATATCCGTTCGGCCGATCGTACAATATTATTATATTGTAACGGTTATACATTTGGTTTACGACGACTACGAAATCGAAGAAACGGGAAACCGTAAATCCTCCGAAAACATGGCTCTGTATTACATATAATAATCGCGCTGCGAAATCTTCGTTTAACTCACGACTTCGCCCTCCCCTTCTCCCTTTGCCGTTTGTGCGCGTGGACACTTTTCCACCGTTTCCTCCCATTAGACCGGATACCGCGTCCAATAATTCGCTTTTCGACGACAAATTCCTCCGCCCAGACAATTAAACGGTTTATTGCGTCGGGAAACGTGCGCCTAAACCTTATGGCGCATACATTATTATTATTTGCGGATTCGCTGTTTTGACCCATTGGACCGATAAACCGTACAATATACGTGATATACGTGAAATAATATAATATGTTCATGTTGTTATCGACTTTGGGTGGCTGGTCGCGTCAATTGTGTAAACTATGTGGATCGTTTGGGCGTAATGTACACTTCAGGACAATTGATATCTGCTAAGAACTAAATATCGAAAAATCGATTTCATAAAGTACTGGACAAAGATATTATATACATTTTAGGGTCATTGAATAGAATAACGTAAGTTTTGTCGAAATTGTAGAATATATATTCGAATAGGAATATTTGAGGGCCGTCCAGAAAGTAAGGGTACAAGTAGAAGTATCGATTGTAAGCGAGAATCAATAATTATGTGAAAATGGAGTTCGTGTACACGTGAACGAAAAAATTTGTGTTCTAGTGTGTACTATTGATACACGTGAATTTACTATGCATGATCGTATTAGGTTCTACTGTTATTCACGTGAATACGTAAGAAAATATGAAAAAATAACGTGAAATACGTGAATATATTTGTAACCATAAAATATAGAGCTCTATATCGTTTTGTTTATTCATTGGATTATCTTTTGTATGTCTTTGTTGTAGGTCTTTCTCACCAACAGCTTCCACTACTTCTCCGCCATCTGGTCGATTTCGTCGTTATTGAAATGACGTTTCGAAACACAACCGACTACTACGAAATTAAATTTTTATTCCATAAATACTATGAAGATCATTAGCCAACCAGAATTCGAGAGGGAGGAAGATTTTAATTAATTTTTTTATTTGTTTAATGTAAACACTTATAGGTAGTTGTTTTAAACAGTATTTCCAGGAGGAAAATATTATACCCAGGGGTAAAAGAAAAAGAAAATTAGCAGAACGGATGTAATATCACGATACGATGAAGAGAACGGAATTTGAATGTTATTGAACCAAATTAAAAATTTAATAACATTTTATCATAAAAAATATTTCTCACTTAAAAATTAAAATTAGTTTTTACTTTTTTTTTTTTTTTGACCAATATTGTTAATAAAGATTTACTACTTATACATTGAAATGAGTTTTTATTACCGTTGAAATTTTAATATGGAAGCCAGTGACCTGAATCGAATTTTCAAGTTACCGTGTATAAAATATTACGTTTTGATTCGATAAACTTTCATCCTAATCACAGTATTTTGTTTATAAGCGGAATCCGTTTTAAAAACTTAAACCCGTATTGAATATTTAGCTTAATGAAATTATCAATTAACTATGATAATTCGACATGACTGAATACGAAAAATGTTTTATTTTTTTCCATTAGACAAAATTTGAACGAAAGCTGACATAAGTATTTCGGATACATAAGTAAACCACTGAGGGGAAGTTCAGATGGATGTAAAAAGGAAGAGACTAGGAGTTTCTTCGTTTAATTATTTGTCTACTATTTTCATGATATTATAAATTGCTAAGTCAACATAATCATTTCTCAGAAAAAAAAAATATTAGCATAAAAAATGAAATACATAAATTGATAATAAATCAATTTTACACTTATTTAGTTTGTAAAAATTAAATTGTTGACATTTTTTTTTTTTGGAATTATTCTTTTAACATTTCCGGATAAATTTAATAATTCGATTGTCTATGATTTATAAATAATATTTCATTGTCAATACCAATTTAAAAAACTTTCCTTTCAGAAAAGGTGCTACACTAATTATTGACACATCGAAACTAGATTTCTGGTAGAAAAGTTGATCACTGGCAAAAAAAAAAAATTAAAAAAATACAGAATCACATATCGTAATTAAACCAATAGATTCCTCGTGCCGATTTGAATCTAACACATCTATGTATTCACATTATAATAAATAAGAAAAATACAACTACGGGTCGAAATAGCAAATTAAACGATAATAACCGTTAGCAAATCTAATTTCGTCAGAGACTTAGATCCTGTAGCACTTCTTCGCTATTGATACACCTTGTGAACCTTACCTTGACGCACAGAAATTATATATTAACGGTAAGGTCAGTTTTTTAGAGGGAACATTTCGATCCAAAAAATTACATTTTCTAAGCGGAAAAGATTTTAAACGTACGGTTACCACGGTGGACTAACCTGCGGTCGAAGTCGTTAAACTTGTACAGTCTCAGGTAGAAAGCCACATCTAATACCGCTTCGGAAGTCCAGCTGTCGTCATCTCTGTTATCCACGTCCAGAGAAACATTCGAGTCATCATCGATGAATCCTTGACCCTCAGTTGACACAAGCAGCGCCCAAACAGCGATGAGACAAATCCACATTAACATTGACATTGAATTATTTACGTGTTATTAAATCTATAGCTATTGTCATGGTTATCGCGGTGATACTTTTTAAATCAATCGTAAATGATTGTTTATCAAAAAAATCGATGGGCGACGGTAGATTTATTGTTTATAACGATAAATAAACAATAAAACGGACCAAACGGGTCTTTTAAACGAACCGATTTAAAGAGCCTCGATAGACTCGGGTTGCTCGAACGACCCGTTTTCCCCCATCTATACAACTAGTTTAATAATAATTGTTTTAATAATAACGTCGTGTTAAACATGACAATCATTTGTGGTATTTTTTTACCGGCGGAGGGGAAGGGAGGAGGGAAGATAAAGTTGCCTGGTTCGGAGGCGATACATAGGCAATGAGGGGAGTGGAGGATTAGGGCTGTGCGTTCTAGATTCAGATTATTATCCATTAAGGCCGCCGCCGGCGCTGCCACCTTATCCGTACGTATACGTATAATTCACGTCTGCGAGTGCGGGTGTAGAAAATCGTATACCGGCCGCTGCGCCGGCGGGAACCGAGAAAGCGCCCCGGCCATTTGACACCGGGCCAACTAACCTGTATAAATAACGTGTGGGATCCGTGTCCCACGGCCGTGTCTCCCCGTCACCGACCCCGGAGGTGTATAAGAACGGCCGACGATAATGGCCGTCTTCCGAAAGAATCGGCGGATAACCGGCCGCCCCCGTTTTTTTCCGGGCCTACACTCGTTGCCCGCGGAATGCTACAACGGAGCCGTAGAAACGATATGCTCCGCCACCGCCGTTTTCGACGTAGTACAGTAGCGGTAATAGCGGTAAGTATATAGTGGTTGTAGTGCGATCGATGTGCGGTTATAATAGTGCTATAGTGATAACAATAGTCGTCAGGGTCTTCGCGAACCCCCGAATCCTGACGAGGGCCTGTTAATGTATTGGCCTAACAGGACGCGTAACATTGTAGACGCACAGAGGAATTTTTATCCAGTACGGTACCGGAGAAAAATGACAAACGTTTATTGATTGTAGGGATAGGTACCGAATCAATTGGACTTGAAATCGAATCCGAATTTCCGAAGGTAAACGACTAAAGTGGCCCTTAATCGCCCCGACAACCCGCACCTCCGTATTCGGACCGCCCGTTTGAACCACCGTCTTATAATCGATCGCCTTGGGTACAAACTTAAATGATATGTCAGTAAAATTATAAAGTATTTGACTTAAACTCATTAAATATGATATTAAATTAAAATAGTTGCCAGGAAAAAATCAGTGTATGGCAGATACATTATCAAGAACATATTTAAAAAATGAAAATATAAACGAAACGGACATAGATTATGTTGTGCATCAAATTCAGGAATCGTTGCGAATATCAAACTTAGCGAAAGAGAAAATAAGAAAGGCAACAAAAGTGGATTAAGTTTTAAGTTAAATAATCAAATTACATTATGAGGGTTGACAAGAAAAACAGAACAATATATTAAAGGTAATAATTTATTATTGGAAAATTAAAGATGTAAATAATGTATTTGATCATTTAATTATTTTAGGCCATTAAGTTATGACAGGAAAGAGTTTAAAGTTTACAAAATTAATGTTGATGCGTGAAGGACATGTAGGAATAAAAAAATGTAAAAAAACGTGTGAGACAAGCGTGTTATNGATTTTTAAATTTTTTATAAATATTAACGATATGTTAAGGATAAATTATTTATGTGCTATGCACTTATTTGACGATACATTTTATAAGAATTATTTAGAAAAAAACATGCAATTTGTGATTTAAAGTTATTTAGTTTTTTTTAGTTTTAGAAAATAATTTGTTGATTTGTTAAAAAATAGAATTAATTTTATTTAAAGGGACATGATTTTTGATTTATCATCAGTATTACAATGGTAAATATATGTGTGATAAATAATGAAAGTTATTGTGCAATAATAGGCAAAGAGAGTGTGTTATCAAAGATGTACAAAGGTTTTTAAATTTTAAGAAATATTAATATGTTAAGGATAAATTAGTTTTGCACATATTTGATGATACATTATATACGAATTATTTAGAAAAAAACGTGTAATTTGTTTTTAATACCTTAAAGAGTGTAAGGAGAAGTTACAGGGCACGTTAATGTATCAATATAAACCTATAAACCTATACTTAAGGTTGGCGGCGGTGGGAGGGTAGGAGGTTTTGATGGTGAAGAGGAGACACGGTTGGTGAAGCTAAGGTGAAATGAGAGTAAAAGGGGAACGACGACTGTATTAAAAACTTGTTTGTGTAGCCATGTTGAGGTACAACTCCGACATGGACGGTCGTGTTGCAGTATACAGGTATGACTTCCTGGCCAGAAATCTCCCGATTATACTATTTTAAATTTTCTTTTTCTCTGGTATAGAGAAAAAACCGCGACCATGTAAATATATTTTTAGGCCAGATTCCGGAGTGTTTCTTGATAATCATTAGACGGTTTATTTGGTTGAGACTTCTAAACCCACTTGCGAACGATCCATATAATGGTTGTACATAGCACTTAATGAAAAGGTACAACATTTCATTAATCTCAAGATGATGTTTCCGCTGAACTGACCATCAGAATTAACTTGACCTGTGTATATATATATACAACACACAATGTTAATAATAATATTTCAACATTGTTGAATCAATCACAATGTAGGTATCCAAGGCCATACCTGCGAGGTTAGGGGATGTACAATAGTGTACGTTTAAACGTAAATTATACACGTGTATAATAACTTTATACTGTATGCCAGTGGTTTTCAAACTGACAGGTGCGAAGTATAATTTGGGAATCGCTAAAATTCTGAAAATTGTCTTTCTTATGTTATAAAATATTATTCATATAACAAAATGTTTGAAAGAGTAACCATAAAAAAAATTAAAATTAAGTGCTCGGGATTTGCAAATGGTTGAAAACCACTGGTGTATACATAAAATTGGACGCCTTTCATTTTTTTTTTTCAGTTACGGTTGTGCAACTATCTACGGTACAAATGTACGGCTTCATCAGAACATACAAAAGTTTTTGGTTTATTTTTTGATCCTTCCAAAGTTTTATTGCGTTATTTAATATTATTGTAACTGGAATACGATTATAAAAAAAAAAAAAAAAAAAAAATGCAGGTTATTATGAATTCAGTTGATTACACGGCACCGTGGCAACGGTGTTTAATCTACAAACATTTCATGTCATTATTAACAATAATTATATCATTGTGTTATTATAAAATAAAACTAACGTTTCGCTTATAGCAAACACGAAATATATACTTGAGTAACATGACTTATTACTACCAAAATGTAAAGAGTTCAACAATATTTTTTAGAACAGAAACCAAAATTGACAAAACTAAAATGCAGTCAATATAAAATATCAAACGTAGCTTAATCATAGAATAACAGGTTTTCCACATTACCTATAAAAATCAATGACAGATATACTATATGTTATCAGTTTATCACATACCTACAAATTCCTTTTGTAACATCATTTATTTCTTTACATATATATCGTTTAATTAAGTTTAGCATTTTAATTTAATTTAATTTAATTTAGCAGTTTTGCCAATATCAATAAAACACATGTCAGTTTGCTAATTGGTGAGCACAACCACGAACCGAACACAATTCAGAAGATTCAACGTCAAATACTTCGTGAAAATTGTAAAAGAAATACCCGTGATGCAATTTAAACATACCCGAGTAAAATTATAAGAATGAATTGATAACAACTGAGTGTAGATAATTTATACATAGCGATATTTATACTGTTAGAAAATAAGCAAGGAACGTATTGGTTTTAGAATGGTGTTTATTTGTTTATGTATACTTGGTACACAAAGTTCTATTAGAAATCTTGCTCCCGTTTTCAAGTGTAAAATATTGATAGAGACTCGATATTTGGACAGAAACCTTATATTTGCCTTTTAAAGACGTATTGTTAGTATTTAGATTAGACCATAAATAAATAATAAATAAATAGTGCACCATTTTAAAAGTTTTGTAAATTCAGTAAAAGCTAAATAATTACGTAAAATTAAAACTCTTAATTTCATGAAATATTTATACGGTAGGTACTCAGTTGTTAAAATTGTTAGACTACACAGAAACCTAGACAATCTAGATGGTGTTGTCAAACATACGGAATGTTACTAAAAAAAGTTACAAAACGTACGGATTCATATATTTACGAGCTGTTTATATTTACATACGTATGGCATAATGCAAGCTAAGAGGGAGAAGAAGACTAAATACGCCTAAGGAAAGCGGATTTTTTATAATAATATATATAATCACCTTTCATAGATAAATTTTTGGAAAGTACGACCTGTTGCGCAAGCATACATTTCAGTTCATTTTTACTAGGTTCGTGTTTTAATTCTACAGAAGTCGTGTTGGACTTGAAGTGTACTACGGCCCGCAAGGCCGTAGACAGAGATTGGTCCACAGTGACTGCATAAGATAGCTTATCATCTTGGTATCCAAACATGCCTTCATAACTTTTGATTAAACTTGATGAAAGTATTCCATTTTCGGCTGCCAATGTGCACTGGCCACCGAACAACCAAGGGCTAAATAGTCGCTTCGTGAAACTAATATTCACTTGATTATTTTGATTAGTGACTTTGTTAGCGGACATCTGCACGCTAACATTTTTGTTAGCCCACTCAATAGATGCGCTAAGATTATTATTTGACCGATTTCCCGAGGCTTGGCCAGTGACGTGGGCCCAAAAGTTGCCCAACACGTTGTACGATAAAGAATACGAAACATCCTTCTTTAAGTTCGATTCGACGTATGTACATAGTTTCGGATAGGGCATCATATAAATATTACCACTAAAGAATACCAGTAAACAATTATTTATAACCAATTAATTATGATATGCGTTGATTAGCTAAAATGAATGTCATATTTAATCGTTGAAAAAAAAAAAAGTATATTTTTTAATTTTTGACTCAAATATTTATTTAGCTGTTTTTATAGAATAACATATATTGTGTTTGTAATACGGCATGATATAGCTGAATTTAAAAAAAAAAAAATATATATATATATATATATATACAGGTTATTTAACCTTTTTTTTAGTAAATTTTAGTTTTAATATATTTAGCTACCTATAATCAACATATAATTTAGAATATTTATGAATCATGACCGATATTTTTCCATTACGTTTTCTAAATGAACATTTTTCAAATTTAAATTTTGATTTGATTTAAACAATAAAAGTAGTCCGAGCAACTTGGGAAGGAACATCTAGTATTAAATAGATAGACACAATTCGATCATATTGTACCTATCACAAAACCACACCGTTCGTTAAATCGACATTATGAATTTGACAATAGGTATTTTAGTGATCATCGCCGAATAGAGTCGATCAAATAAAAATATTATTATTTTGGGCAAATCTTACTTTTCTGAGATGGATTTTTTCATTTTGGAATATGCAAAACCATATCCGAACCTGTTCTCAAATTGTTTTACTGAACTCTGTGTCAATCTGTAGGTTAAGAAGTTATGAAAAACGTTGTTTCCTTGCCACGACACGCTTTCAAACATAGTACACCCGGAGACTCCTGATACAATACTTGGATTTGTATTCAGAAACACCGACTTGGAGTAGGTTGGGGCATTTCCTGAAAATAAAACGAAAAGTTCAAATAGTTATTAATAATCCAAATAAAGATTATTTAACAGTTATATCACGCCTGCGAACGCTAAAATAATTCTAGGAAAAAAAATGTTAAATACCTATCTATGATTACGTCTTATTCAACGATAATACAGAAAAAAAAAATCGAATTTAATAAAAGCCGATTTACGGCGTTGGTTTAAATATGCCCCGTCGATTGTTCCGACTTATTTTTATTTGTTTCGAATTTCTCGCATTGCGAAGAAAATAAATTGGAATTTAAAAAGAATAAATAATCTTCTCTAAGCATTGAATATGTTCATAACATAAAAGAAAGCCACTTTGAGTCTTATGGTCGAAAGCAAGTAAATCTTTTAAATACTTTGTAAAAAATAAAATAAATAAAATACATATTCATATCGTTGTCATTATTAATCGTAAACCTATAATTATTTATTTTTCCAGGTTGAAAACAAAGTACGAAAATTCGACTACACTAATCAACGCTTCTTCAATAAAATTATGAAACATACGAGAAGTCACATTACGGGAAGAATAATGGTAGTAGTTATAAAACACGGTCCAAAACTATCTAAAAACACGCCGCTTATTCGAACTCAGTATCTTTTAAATACTATTAGGCATATATTTCAATTGATAAATGACGGTAAACTGTCTGTATCGGTATT